CCGGGCCTGATCCCGATCCTGATCCCCCTCCGGCATCTGAACTGCCGGCTGCTGGCCTCGGACGCAAAACTACCATTCTGAAACATATCATAACAACATCAGAACACTGAAATATCTCAAGGGATCATGATACTACTACTAGCTTCCTGGTCTTGTCTTGGCCTTCCTTAATTCGAGTACGGATCCTCTGCTTTCAGTAGTATGGGCCCCTACTACCTTCCACATCTATCCGTACTTTCCTCAAGAACTGCCTTGACTCCACCAAGTCACTTCTACTACTGCCATTCTCTGCTACTCTCATCCTAGGCTTGCCCTAGGGAAACTTCAAGCTCAACGCGACTGGTCCTCAGCTGCTGTAGGTCTCCTCATAATGCCAGTTAGCCACCACCTAAACACCATCACATGTGATGAGGATCAGATAATCCTTCAAGTAAAAGATCCGTCCCTACAACGGTTGGACTCAAACAAGAGCTGCGCAGTAGAGCCAGTTCCAGCACTCTGGGATTATTCAAACCTGATCACATGTGGTGTGACGTGTTCACCTAATGGCTAACTCCCACTACTCAGAACCCCACTAAGCACGAAGCAAGCAGCATTCGGACACGGGAAATAGACTCAGGCAAAACTATTCTTATAACAAGAAACTGCACTAGCATAGGATGCTAAGCTCATACTATCAGGCATAACCTAAACAGGCTATCCTACTGCTGTCTACTCAATTCTAGCATGCAATACTCATAAAGCTGTAACACATAAGCAGGCACATAAGGCATTCTCCTAGATCCTTAGCCCTATACTAGCATGCTGTTCTACTGAAACTGAAACTGAACAAATAACTTGTATGGGTAATTTGGGAGTACTTACTTGAGCTCGGCTGACCGCATGCACACACCTCTATCTTGTTAAAAACAATTCTTTCTTTCCAAGTGCTTTCAAAATTCTTTTTGTAAAACATTTTTATTTTACTAAAATCTTTTATTTCCCTTAGTTTGAGTTCAGATACACCCGGAAGTGTATCCGAATCCCTCAAACCAGGGCTCTGATACCAACTTGAAACGACCCAAAAACACGACCCAAAAATTTTCGTTTTTCAATATAATCTAAACCGTAATATAAGTATCATAACATAAAACATACGCGATGTATCCCAAAACATAGTAAAATATTGTGCGGAAAATTGTATCATACAACATCAATCCAAAACATCAAAAGACATCCCCACGATAAAACTATGCTGTGGTGTGTCCGATGCTGTCACCCCGAGCTCTTCCCCTTGCTTGCGGAAGTACCTGAAACCAAACTGAAACTGTAAGCACGAAGCTTAGTGAGCTCCCCCAAACTACCACATACCATACAATAACATATAAACACATATTGGGCCTTGCCCACTGCATCGGGCCGAAGCCCGGAAACTGCATCGGACCGAAGTCCGGAACTGACTGGGACCTTGTCCCCTGCATCGGACCGAAGTCCGGAACTAACTGCATCGGACCGAAGTCCGGAACTGACTGGGACCTTGTCCCCTGCATCGGACCGAAGTCCGGAACTAACTGCATCGGACCGAAGTCCGGAACTGACTGGGACCTGTCCCCTGCATCGGACCGAAGTCCGGAACTAACTGCATCGGACCGAAGTCCGGAACTGACTGGAACCTTGTCCCCTGCATCGGACCGAAGTCCGAAACTAACTGCATCGGACCGAAGTCCGAAACTGTCTGACTGAACATGGCATCGCATAACACATCAACTAGCATAACACATATACGACATGCTACATCGGGACGTGGCCCGGAACACATAGTACTTAACACATAAAACATAGCACACAAATCCTGTTCGAACCACGAAGGCATCGAACATACCAACTACTGCATCGGACCTAAATCCGGAAACAACTGCTAACTGAACGGGCCGGCATTGTGGCCTTAGACCCGTTCCTACTGGAAGGAAACTCACCTCGTAAGCTGGCTGCTGAGTGTGTGGCTCGGGAAGCTAACGGCGGCTGCTCCTGAATCTCCTCGGCTACAAGTCCATAAACACACTCAATAAATTACTAAACACTGCGCTTGGGATAAAATGACTCTTTTACCCTCGGTCAAAGTCAATTATCTTCTGGGCTGACTCGCCGAGTTGGGCCACCCAACTCGCCGAGTCCCACTCTTACTTTTCACTCTTACTCACTGCTACTCGTCGAGTCTGGCATCGACTCGACGAGTACCCTCTTGATCCAAGAACTCAGACAATCTTCATCCGACTCGCCGAGTCGTATGAACAGACTCGACGAGTTGTTCTTGATCCCAAGAAGATTGCCTTGGACTCGCCGAGTTGTATGAACAAACTCGTCGAGTCCCTCCATCACTGAGTCTACTCTCAACTCGCTGAGTCCACTTCCTGACTCACCTCATCCACTCGACACTGATAAAACTGAAGGACTCGGGACTCGCAACCCGACTCGTCGAGTCGTTCTTCCGACTCGCCGAGTCGCCGCCATGCAACTGATTTTTACTTGATTTTGTTTGAATCCAATGCATACAATTGATAGATCTGAGTCCAATAAGCTGTTTTACCACGTAAAGTTTCCAACTTTACGTGCACAACCTCATGAATAAGGGAAATAAGGCTAAAAGATGCATAAAATGGGTAGATCTATGGTTATCATGCAATATAACTCCAAAAAGACAGTAGATCTGGGCTCTACAACACCCCAACATTCAGATCCATAGATATATCGACTTAATAAGACGTTCATGCAAGTGTAAGGCTTGAAACAAGCACCAACTAGCTCTTAGGAGAGTTCTAATGGAAGTTTAAAGCATATAATAAGATGGAACTCCGAAAATACCTCAATAAACTCTGATTTGGCCTTGGATCTTTGCACTACAACCCTTCTCCTTGCTTCTTTCTTCTTCTCCTTCTTCACACCTTCACAAAGAGGGCACCAAAACACATATAAGCTCTTCAATGGAGGTTTGGGGCTCTATCACTGCGTTCTCAGGGTGAGGGAGGCGAGAATGGGGGCTATGAGGTGGTATAAATAGTGGGCAACCCGGGGATTTTAGGGTTTCACCCAGACAGATGGACTCGCCGAGTCGGGGATATGGACTCGTCGAGTCCCCGGCTCACGCGTGCCCTCAGACGCGACCCTACTCGGCGAGTCAGGCTAGAACTCGCCGAGTCCCTCTTGAAAAACTCACTATAATTACCAATAAATCAACATACCGGGAACGGGTCGTTACAGTCTAACAACAAACCTGCCAACAAGGTGTCCATATGTAGATCCAATCATTATACCTGGAACAAATTGGCCAGCTGGAACAGCAGTACCAAATGTCACCACAGCTAAACCATACTGAGGAGGAGCAACACACATGCAAAACAATAACAGATTTAACACTCTCATCTTTTAATTTAGTTAGCATTGTATTTTTATATTATCAATTTTAGATTTGTAATTTCTTTGTTTGGTTACTTTTTCTCTTTTACTTAAAATTCAATACTTTTCATTCAAACTTATTTTTTAAATGTTAAAACTACAAAACAAATAGAAACTGTCTTTCACAATACCAAATACAACAAGAGCATAGAAGGGACATCCTTCATACAAGTTGACAGTGTGGCAACCATTCACGAATAGTAGGGTAGCAGTTCCAGAGATGTTCTGGGCACGTTGAACAACGTGCGTACGAGTTTTTTGCGGGAAGCTTTTGAGTTTAAATAACAAAATTCCACCTGATTTTTTTTAAAAAAAGTAATTATAATTAAAAAAACAGTTAAAAGAATGGAAGTAGAGAGAGTCTGTAAGGAAAATTTATGTTATGGAGGGAAGAGGACTTACAGTCAATTGGTCAATTAAGTCACGACTCACACAGCCAGGAAGCCTCTGTATTAAGCCATCGAAGTTGGTTCCTTCAGGACCACAAAGCTTCTCTTTTTCAATTTTAGTTTTTATTTCACCATCTTTTTCTTTTTCTTTTTCTTTTCCTTTATCTTTTTCGTCATCATCTTTCTTTTTCTCACTTACAGATGTCTCTGCAGTATCTTGGGCAGCAATCTGACCTTGATCAGACTCAGGTGTTGTTGAGTCCTGCATAATATATTTATTTCATGTCAATTAAAAACTTTGTTACTATTTTTTTGTTAAAAGAACTTACACTTGGTTGATCTGATGCTTTTGATCACTGATCATTCCCTTTTTGCTCTGCTTCTCCCAATAACACAGCAGGAACAAATGCCCTAGAAACAAAAAAAAATGTGTTTTTTTCTCATTATTACAATTTGTGGTTTTGAAATGTATTATAGTAAACACTTGCATACCTGAGATCAGGTAAACATTCATAAAAACTTTTTTGTATCTTCATCATCCCACAAAGCTTGAGCAACAGAAGCCTCTTTTCCAGTACCAGGAGATGAGACATCATCACCTGTTGTGAGCCTCGTGTGACCATCCTCTGCCATCATAGGTGGTTACATATCAAGTGCTTCTGCTAACCTAATCTCACCAAAAATTTGAACAAAATTAAATATGTATCTGTAAAAAAAAAAGATATATAAATAGTAAATATTTTATTTTTTTACTTACAGAGAAACACCTCGATAAAGTTGGTCGTAATGGATATCATCAACTATAGCATCTTATGCAAAAACTTATCCACAAGTTAAATGCATGAAACAGCAACACTGCATTTTTAATTCATTTAATTGTGTATTATAACAAAACATCATACTTTCAATTATTTTCTTATCAAGGCAATGTGATTGAAAAATACATGTAATCATAGCATTGTTTTTTTTATTAGGGCATCATATATTGAAGTCCTCAACCACACATAGGGACTTTCATTTATTTTTCCTTCTTGGGTAACACAAAAAGTTACAATTTTTTTCCCTAATACATGATGCGTCTTCAGTCTTCACACATACCAAAGTGATAGAGATTTTAGTTAGAATAGAATCTCACAGTTGTATATGCAATAAGGTAATGAAATGCAGTCCAGGCAGGCATCATAGGGACATTACACTAGTTGAATGGAGCTCCACAGAACCTGAATCATTATTGGCCTGCTGCATATAAAAAGTTGTAATTTCTCATAAAAAAACTCAATGGCATAATAAATATATTACATATACAAAAGTTAGATTGAGATACCTCAAATATCAAGTCCTTTCTGGTGATCATGCTAATCACATGAGAAGTACGTGGATTGTAAGGATTTTGTAAACCAATAGCAGGAGGTGGGGAGGCTGCTGATCGGGAGTGGTTCTTCAGTACGTGGGTTATAAGAGAACCCAATTCACAGGTTGTCAAGTCGAAAACTGCTACTGGTAGTGGTTCTTCAGTATCTAGACCACTTGGATTACAGACCATGGAACTTTCAAGATTCAGCTGAAGCTGCAGATGTGATACCCAAAGAACTTGTGTTCTAAAATAACACATATTAAGAAAAAAATCAGAATTTCTAAATATATAATATAGAAATATAATACACACAACAATTTATAACCTAATTAGATTCTCATTTAGCCTTTGGACTAGAGACTTGAGCATTAGCATTGGCCACCTCATTAGCAAACATGTCCTCTTAAATATTCTTCATATTGATAATCATAGTTTTTTTAGTTAATCCAGAGCTTTTTTAGAAAATCGATTCCATGGTGGAATTAGAGACATTTCCTTGTCCATCTCCTTCAATGCCTAGAGTGACCATACCCCAGCTTCAATAACATGACAAATAGAGTTCCTGCTTTGGTTGTCAAACCTACAGCAACAACAAAGAAAGATGTCAAACTTAATAACTAAGGGTATCCTTAATTAAAACAAAATACATTTCACCATCTTTGATGAGCTTGTTAACAAGTTGAATAGCTGCTAACCAGCCATCACAAATAAACATTGATTTAGTAGTAAAACTGAACCTAAATTCCAAGTCTTGTAGTTCAATTATCTTGTTCTCGAGTCCTTTTGGTGCATATCGACATGAAAGGTAGCCAAAAGTAGTCTCATCTGGGTGAAAAGCTAACATAGACATTATGTCAAACACCTTGTGGGCGTGCATCAGTAACTGACCTAACAGAGACTGATTCGTGTTCACGGCGATACCCTCCAAATCAGCTTTAAGAGTAGACAAATTAAGTGTGTGATATATCACCAATAGTTCTGATATTACATAAGAAAATGATAAAGTAAGAGAATGAAACCTAGAGTACATACATGGAGAAGAAGAGAATGATATTCAAACCTGGGGCCTCTTCCATTTTTGCTTCCTAATTTCCGATGCTTCCAATCTGACCATGAACCTCCGACTTCTAATCCCAAATCTAAACTTCAACCTTCGATTTATGATCTTCAACCTCTAACTTAATCATATAATCTAATGCTACCATGAAGCCTGATTCCATCTGATCAACTTGTTTTCCAATCATGCTTTGTGAAGCCAACAGCACCCTAACTCCTCAGATTCTTCATCCATTTGGTCATATTCCAACTGTTGTATTAATAAACATTGGGTTGAATTTCAATTAGGATGGTTATGAAATGAAATGGTCTCCAAATCAATTCTACGAAGTCAAATGCTTGACGATTTGGGTAAAATCGAAATATAAGTATATTTTTTTCATGTGCCCACCAAATGACTGATGAAATGCCACAACGAGAGAAATTCAATAAAGTAAGGAATTTGAAGTTGGAGTTAAAGCATGTCTTAGAAGGTTAGCCATCTCTTCAAGAACAGACGTAACTTGTTCACCTCCTTTAAGGAGAGCTTCATACTGAGCAGGAGTCCAAGTACTCCAAGTACACGTTTTTAGCTTAAGACCTGATGCAACAAAACGGATTACACAGTTTATCGGATTACATCGGATGCAGCAAAACGGAGTAACATATAGAACTATGTTTCGTGGATCTGGGATTCAAAAACACAAACCCAATGTTTCGTTCTTTAATCTTGTGGTATAATGGGGCTTTATTGGTGGTGGTGGTGAACCAGAGAGAAGACGAAGGGTGGTGGGTGCCTAGGTTGTTGTCGAACAGTAGGGGGTAGAGAGAGAGAGAGAGAGAGAGAGAGAGACTTGTAGTTGGTCGTGTATTACCTGCATCAAATTGAAATTAAGGGAATGTTGATTTTATAAGATAACTTTGAATCGACCTAGGTTTTCCCTGACTTGTGTTCGAAAAACCATTTGTTGTGGTTAATGGAAGAGAGAGAGAGAGAGAGAGAGAGAGAGAGAGAGCGAGATAGAGAGAGAGAGAGAGAGAGAGAGATTTGTTACAGATATGGCGAAGGCGGTGAACGAGATGTTTGATGATACTGATAAGAAGGAGATCAAGTAGATGTTTGATGATATTGAAGATGAAGATGAAGGACCTAGGTATTTTTCTTGCTAAGTATAAGAGGTGGGGGATTAATTTTTGGGATTCAATAGGCGGGGGTAATTTTTGTCGATTTTATTTCCCGCCTAAAACGCGTGTTTCACTTAAAAATTATAAAGCGACACATTTACATGACGCACACTTTATGAAAGGCGCCTTCTGCATTTCTTTTTTTTCTTTTCTGACACTAATTTTAGGGCGCGCACAAATGCGTGCCCTCTATTCTTCAAATTTTGCAAAACTGACATTATCTTTTAGGGCACTTACAAATGCACGTCGTCTATCAGCGAGTGTCATTGTTTGTGCGTCATTAAAGGGCTATTTTCTTGTAGTGGTACCATAAGGTACACTGCGCGTACTCTCATCCTCCCTGCATTTCATTTAAGCATTACGCCCAGCGTACAAGGGGTTACGCCCCGTGTACGGCTTACGGGCTGCTTACACCTCGGCCCAAAGTAAAAAGTCCCGTTCACAAGTACAGTTCTATTATAGCCCAAAAAAAATAAAATTGAGAATTAAATAAATGTATACCTCGGAAGACGATCGTTACAAATCTCCCCTACTTGAATCAGACTTCGTCCTCGAAGTCCGCCGCTACTGAATCTGAAAACAATTCTGGATAACGCTCCTGCATCTCCTCCTCTGATTTCCACGTCCACTCTAAACTCTTCCGGTGCTGCCACATCACCTTCACTAGCTGAATTACCTTGTTCCTCAAGGTCTTTGTCTTCCGGTCCAAAATCACGATCGGTATCTCAATATAATTCAGGCTGCCATCAACCTGAATGTCCTCTAAGGGCATAACTACTGACTCGTCCACCAAACACTTCCTCAACTGGGAAACATGGAAAGTGTTGTGGATCTGGCTAAGCTCTTCTGGAAGATCCAACCGATAAGCGACCCGACCCACCCAAGCCAAAACCCTAAAAGGACCGATGAACCTGGGGCCCAGGTTGCCCCTCTTCCAAAACCTTATGAAACCCTTCCAGGGTGATACCTTCAGGAGGACCATGTCGCCTACCTGAAATTCCAGGTCTGATCGCCTCCAATCAGATAACTCTTCTATCGACTTTGCGTTGTCTACAGTCTACTGCATGCCTGCTGGATCAACTCTGTCGTCTTGAGCACCACATCGGTGCTCCCAATGACACGCTGACCGACCTCGCCCCAATAAATCGGGGTCCTACACTTCCTCCCATAGAGCTGTTGGATAAAGTGTCTAAGTCCATAACTATTTCTGGTATGTACTTGACCCGACCCGGCATGGTCCATTTGGGTTGCATGGCACCGTGCAATTGGATAGACTAAATGAGAGAAATAACACTTGGAGATTATTAATATATTATAAGTTCTAATATATTAATAATATTATTTGATTAGTTTGATCAAGAATTAATTTAGAATTAATTATGTGATCAAAAGATAACTAATTAAATATATGGGTTGATTATGTAAATCATCCATATCTTGTATAGTGGGCTAAGAGGCTCCATGGATTATCAAGTTGGGTTCCACCCATAGGATGCTCCATGGATGCTCCATGGGAGTTACAAACCCATGGGTCATGGAAATGAAGAGTCATGACACATTAGGGTTTAACCCTAGATGTGTCAACACTATATAAGAAACATGTTCTCCACCTAAAATCGGCTACACTAAGAAACAAGAGGGCTTGGCCGATTTTGAGAAGTGTGTGTTCTCTCATAAGTTCTTCCAAGAGCATTTGGTGTTGTGTGAAGCATTTGAGGCATCACACTTGGGGTGCTAGGCTCACAAGGTTTCAAGGAACACAAACAACAACAAGGTAAGTTATTCTATCTATACTTTAAGTTAAAATTGTTCCCCATGTATGCTAGATAGGAATATAACCTTGGAATTCAACTTTGCATGATAATTAGACAAACATAGATCCAAGGTTATTAGGGTTGCATGTACACTTAGGAAGTGTTAGAATGCTCAAAACCCATCAGTGGTATCAGAGCCTAGGCTTGTTTGCTTTTTATTTGTGCTTAAAAGTTGAAAAAAAGTCGAAAATCTTGTTGTCTACGAGTGGACTCGTCGAGTCTATAGGGGGGACTCGGCGAGTTCACGTGTATCTTCAACCAACTCGGCGAGTAAATTCATGCACTCGGCGAGTAGGATCGACTGATTGCAGAATTTCGATTTTAGTTGCTGGAAATGGACTAGAAACATTACCCTAAACTGTTTTGGTACTTGAAAACTTGTTTTGATGGTGTAATGTTCTTTCTAATTCATTCACAACAACTAGTTATCAAAATTACAAAGTTTTAAATGTAATTTTTGATTGTGTTCATATTCATGTTCTTGTTCTTATGATGTTTTAGATGATCATAGGAATTATTTGTAACCTATGTGGTAGATTAATTCTTGATCATAATGTGTTTTAATGGAGTCCATAACTTGTCCTCAAGTTATGGAAAACCAAGAGTCACACTTGAATTAAAACCATTAAAACAAACACAAGAGTTAGAAAAATGAAGAGTCTTCATTTTATTACTCTATTAAACTCATAAGTTACAAGAAATGAAAAGTTTTGAAAGTTACAAAACTTGCCCTCAAGTTTTGGAACAAGAAAAGTTAAGTTAAAACTTTAAGTTCCAACCCCTAGAATTTTAAAAGTTAAAATTCAACCCTTATACTTATATTATGATGATTTAATAATTATATATATATATGTATAAGAATAAAGTCGTCTTACCGCTAGTACGCCTCATTCACGAAGCCGGTCTATAAGGTGGGTATAAGGTTGTTGCCTATAAAATGGTGACTTAATGGGTGTCTACTCTCACCCACCGCTTGCTTGACTGGTGGAGGGTCGTTAGCCGAACGGGTAAGACAAGGACTTATAAACTCTCATTCAAAGTATGATGAATATTATAAAGTAACTAAATGTTTTATTAAATTCCCAATCTTAGTTACTTTAGGAAAATGTGAATAAGGTGCTAATCCATGAAATTACACTTTACACTTTGTCTAAGTCGTTGGTGGAGCGTGTGTGGTTAACCGGCACACTAACTTGGACTTAACAAGGTAGGTAAAGGGTGACTTAAGGTTTATTATAGTATCGGTGGAGCGTGTGTGGTTTACCGGCACATCGATTGAGTGATAAACTTTAAGGGTACCAAGTGATTTGCATGGTTACTTCACACCTCGTTTTGTGATCCTCGGTATCCCAGTCACAAAACTTGGAGGGCACTCTCGAGATTGAAACATGCCTTTGAAAAGTTCATTGAATCTCAAAGAATCTAGGAATTTCTAAAAACCAATAAAACCTAATATCTAATATTTCGGTTTTCGTGGTGGAAATTGGTGAATCGTCATTCACCTACCTTTCAAATATGGTATAGCTTAGATTACGGCATACCTCTTCTAAGTTATATTATATTGTGATTGGATCCTAGCCTTAATATTACATTTGGGTGTTTTATTAAGGACTCTCTTAAATCTATACTAAACTTGTTCTCCTCTTTCAGATGTCTTCAAATAATGCTTCTGGCTCGAATCCTAATGGCTCCTTTACTCTTATGAGTTTGTGTGGGAAAGTCACCTTTGATGGATCCAACTTCAATGAATGGATCAGAAACATCAGGATGATTACCCGCTACGAGGACAAAGAATATGTCCTTGACAAGGAGCTTAAGGAGATTGATGAGACCACTGCAACTCCTCAGGAGATCGCTGACTTTCAGGCACATGAAAGGGATGCTACGAAAGTAGCATGCATCATGATGGCCACAATGACAGCAGAACTCCAAAAGTCCTATGAGGATTTCTACCCTTATGAAATGCACCAAGATTTGATGGAAAGATACCATCAAAGTGCACGACAAGAGAGGTACGAAATCATCTGCTCCATGATAACAAC